CAAAGATACAGGCCCTAAACAGCGGCTTTGCAAGCTGAGCAGTGGTGGAGAGGCGTGAGAGTGGGTAAACCAAACCAGCCTCCTGGCCTTAGGACGGAGCACTTCCTGCCGCTGAGAACAGGCGCCTCCTCTGCACTCTTAGGCTCCTACTGGTCGTCTGACTGGCGGGGCCTGGGGCCAGAGTTCTACCAGAGCTTCGGGGCCCTGTGGTCGGGCTGTGGCTCCCGCGTCCCCCGCGTCCCCATCCCACTCTGACACCCCCCAAGGCTCCTTGAGATTCTCAGCTGCCACACGGTATGACAGACACCAACCATCTAGCCTCCCTGGTAACAGGGACGGCCACCAAGAGTTCCTCCTTGCGTATACTTACAATAGTGACAAAGACACAGAAATTTCTTCCATTTATCAAGTTATAACTTTAACATATGCATATAAAGCTGTGGGTCAAAGCAAAACACATCATCTCTTCTGCATCAATAGATGGCATCAGTGTTAATTATTCTGAGGTTTGCTGAGTTCAAACTTGTTTGCTAAGTGTTTAATAAATACAAATACCATCATGTTCTATAGGTATAAAATGTGAAAAGCTATTACTGTACAAAGCAGAGAACTTTAAAGATACAATGGTGAGAAAATGAATACTGCTCACATAGTGCCCCTGAGACCTACGCACGGTATAACAAGTCATTCTGCAAAGATGTGAGCGATGAGACTTGAGTTGGGGTCCACGCCAGGTGCTCGGGATCTGTCACTGAACAAAACGGAAGGAGACCCTTAGTGCCGAGAGGCTGACATCCTACCAGAGGTGCACATTAATCATCGTACATCCATTATTAATGTGTCAGAAGGTAGTGATGCTGTGGAAACGAAACAAAGAAACAGAACCGTGTGAAGGGGTCTGGAAATGCCGCAGGGGACCGGGAAGAAAGGAGCGGTAGCCAGGTCAGGTGGACAAAGAGCAGAGAGGCCAGTGTGGCAGGAGCGGCGTGAGCACGGGGGACAGGGAAAGGGGAGGAGGTGAGGGGGCTGCCAGGTGCCAGGGGACCTTTAGGCCACCACAAGGACATCAGCCCCTACTCTCAGACACAAGCAGAGTAGCCTGTGTGTTGACGGAACACTTGTGGCTTCTGAGGACAAAGTGCAGGAGGCAGGAAGGAAGCAGGGAGTCGGGTCAGAGGGTTGAGCAGTGACCCGAGGAGGCGGATGGGGGCCCGACCCGACCTAAGCCGTAGTGTGATGGTGTGTGCGACAGCCGGGTCCTGGATGTGTCCTGAAAGGAGAGCTGCTGGGAGTTTCAGACTGGACCGGGAATGAGGTACAGAAGGAAGGGGCAGCCCAGAGTGGGCCCGTGGCTCCAGCCCCGACGAGCCAGCAGCACGGCCTTCACCACCTGAGATGCGGGGAACTTGGGCAGAGCGGGCTTGGGGAACAAGACCAGGACCTGGGAGTCGCACAGGCCAGATCTGTGCAGATACTAAGTGAGCAGTCGCCTCGAAGAGTCTGGCGGGGATTTCAGGAAAGAGGTCTGGGCTAGGAACATAAGGTGAGGGTCACTGGCATATATGTGATGTTCAAATTCAGGAAGAAACCAGGGACCAAGTAGATGAAAGGACCCAGGGGCAAGTCCTGGGACACATGGACGTTAAGGGTCAGGGCGGGAGAGGTGGAGCCTGCCAGCAAACTAAGGGGAGACGGAAGGCCGGAGGCTCGCGCTGCTGGGGATGAAGGAAGAGACCTGGGCAGAGAGGAGCCGCAGACACTCGACCCCAGGAACAAAACAACCCCAGGAAAAGGGGCGATTCCTAAAAACTGAAGCAGCTACCACCAGGCATGGCTCTTCAAAACAAGACGCGAATCTCCTCATGGAGACGAGGGTGCAGGCCTAAAAGAGAGAGCATGTGACAGCTTCAAGCAGCAATGTCATCCTTGGTTTTCAGAAGTCAACTACTAAGAAAGAAAGCCTCCAACCTGGCTCCGAGAGCAGGATTGGCCCAGAGTTCAGGTCCCCTCTGAGGGATCACGTACAGTCTCAGAGACAAGACCTTAGAATCCTTAACAAAACCATGTCCCTGCATTTCCGAATCTTCAGAGACCTAGATGGATAAATCCGTTCCCTAGTGGATTAAAGATCCGGCTCTAACAGCCAATCTCACGCTCAAGATCCAACCCCACTCTCGTGAAACTTCGGTTAACCACTTCTCCAAACAGACGTCTGCTTTCTCCTCCGGCTCGTCTGCAGCCCCCGCCGTCAGCCCCGCAACCAGCAATCACGTTATTGTAAAGTAACTCTCACCCGTGCGCCATAACTGGAGAGCGGCTTCACATGCAAGCTCCCTACCCCTTCAACAGCTGTGCAGAACCAGCTTCACCCCTATTTGACAGATGAAGAAACTGATGCTTAGAGCCGTTACCCAAGGTCATGCAGCTGGTAAGGGACAAAGCCAGGATCAAAGCCAGGTCTGCTCACCGGAGCCGCGCCTGTGCCCCAGCACAGCCCGCCTCCTGCACGGAGTGCCACACCAGCGCGGCCAAGGGCTCTGCCGTCTGGGTGAGCTTTGACCCGCTCGGTGCCTCTGTCTTCTCATCAGGCATATGAGAACTGGGGTGACGGGCTCCAAGCTGTCCTGAAGACTGAGATGATGTGTGTGCAAGGCCTCTACAAACTGTAATGCTTTTATCACTATATTTGCTGCATTTTAGATCCTCAGGACAGGTTCTCATACCTTATATATGTGTCCCCTTCAATGCCCAACAAAGGGTGTGAGGAGCTGAATGTCACCTGCTCAATCTTTGGGAAGGTCTGGGAGGAAAGCGCTGTCCCGCTACGTCACGGATCCAAAATCCAAACCTTCAATCACAGTGCAGTCACACATCAGTCACCAACACACACGAGTTTTAGACAGCCTGCACGCCATTCTAACTGCTGTTTCTTCTCCAGTGTGGCTTTCAGTGCCCTAAAAATCTGGCGAAGGGAAAATCCCAAATGAAAAATATAAACACATTTTGTAAGAAAGCAGGCCTAGAGGGAGGGAGACCAGGAAAAGGCCTGGTTTGTTATCAGAGTGAACAGAGACCTTATTGTTCCGTGTACTCTCTGATTGACAGCTTCCCTGTAACACTAACTCATGCGCTCTATGAAATGTGATTTGCTTTAGGAAAAAGAGCAGTAACATGGTTATCAAAATGTCCTTAGCACATCACTGCCCCCCAGTGACTAAATGTATCTGGTGGTCTGTCCCGGGAAGTGGCCCACTGTACTCTGACGTGATTCTTTACTGGGTCTGCTACCAAGTTGGCACAGCAGAAGGGAACCAACCCCTGCTCCGCTGTGACAGTTCTCAGGATGAGTCACTTCCCATCCTGGTCTGTACAAGACGGGCAGTATTCACAGGTCTGTTGTGAAGGTCAAGTGAAGTACCAGACGAAAATTAACTTACAAATCATAATACATTCTCAGAAATGACTGGCAATCACCTACCGTCATCCTTGTACATGTCTGGAATCAGCAGAGCTGAGCCTCTGTCTCTCTGGTGGGTTCACCGTGTCATAACAAAGAACATTTTTTTAAAAATCTACTTGCCTTTGAGGACACAATGTTTTCTTAACTACAGAAGCTATGGAAGAGGTAGTTTGGGAGGCTGGTCCTTCCACAAAGGATCTACAGTCCAACCAAAGATAGCTTTAGGTGGTTCAGAGATGCCTTCCAAAGAATGTGAAAATGGACTGTCGGGTAAAGATATAGCCACTGACTGCGTATATGAGGGGGACACGTGCCCGGTCATTTTACCTATGACGTCGGCCTCTGAGGACACCAAGGGACTCAGAGTAGTGAGCTCTGGCTCCTCCCTCACCTCCCGTGGTCATCCCAGCTGCTCACTCAGCACCTCTGGGTAGAAGGGAGGAGGAACTGAGAAACCACAATTATTTTTAGATGCAGGACATGTCCACCTGCATCTAACTTGTGCTGATGTCTGAGAGAACATCTAACGACGTTCACAACAGGCCTGTGAACATTCCCCATCTTGTGCTTGTCTCCTCCTTGGACCAAATTCCTGTCTGAACTGAGTATAGGAACCCACAAGTGGCTGATGACACAATTCACCAGCTGAACCCTTAAGCCAAGTAATTATCTGAGCAGCTTGACCAACTTCCACCAAAACTATGAACTAGACAAAAACTGCACAAATGTTCAAGCTGGCCTGACAACTAGAAAAAATCTCAGTTCACACCCCCAGTACACACACCAGAGAAAACGTATCCTAGCATTTCTGTTTATTATTCATCAAGTACGTCGCTCTACGAATACACTTCCAGCCACAACATTCAGAAAAAAGGAAGAAGCATGATTAGCACTTGGAGCAAGTTCCGCCAGGTGGAAACCCTCAACCCCACTCATCCTTGTGCCAGTGCAAAGAGGCTGGACTGACCTTTGGAACTGTCGCCCGAGCACCTGAGACCTTCATTTCCTTCGCAAGCCTGGGACTTGCTAACCTTTCTCAAATAATCCTCTGAATAGAATTCCGATTTCCCCAGAAGAATCCTACAAGTAGATGCAATGTTCCTTTGGGTCAAGGCCATTGGCTTTCACTATTTGCTTAATTTCTGCACCCTTTTGTTGAAAAATAACTTATTAAGGTTGACTAAATCATTGTGCCAACTTTGTCCCTGACTATGATTTATTTGTAGCCACTTGATGAAAAGTGATCAGGTTTTTGCATCGGTAATATTTGTTCCAACATTTTGACCTCCCCCCACCCCCTTTTTAAAGTTATTTCTGTTTAGGTTTGGCAATTTCAAAACACCAAAGTGCACTGTGACACACACCCCCTGCCTGTTTAATGACCCGATGTGCTGACCTTGTTTGAAGGGACCCTGAGTGTCAGGAGTCCCTGAATCACAACGAGGGTGGCACTTCAGGCCGCATCCCACCCTGCGCCCCCAGCGGGTCGCCCCGTGCAGTGACAGCGTCCGTTCACGGCCAGGCCAGCAAGCGCACTCACCAGGTGGACATATGGGACGAAGTAGCCGAACAGGGCAAGCGGCACACCGGCGGCCCACACGGAGTAGGCGGTCACCTTGAAGACGGCAGTGTTGAAAAGCCTTCTCGGAGGACCGAACTTGCCCCTGTCGCCTCCCGGGGCTGCACTCTGCCCGTCGCTGGGGGCGAGAGGCCGGTAGGTGAAGCCGGCCAGGAAGAGGACGAGCATGAACACGCACAGGACCCTCAGCGTGTGGGAGAGGTCCACGCGGTCCGTGAGCACCCTCAGCAGGAAGGGCAGCAGCACCGTGAAGGCGCTGCTCCCGGCGGTGACCACGCCGTTCACCAGCCCGAGGCGCTTCTTGAAGTACTGTCCCAGGACCACCAGGGAGGGCTGGTAGGCGAAGGAGCAGCCGCAGGCGAAGATGACTCCGTAGGTGAGGTACAGGGGCTCGATGGAGCTGCGCGGGACGGAGAGAGGGGGTGCCCGTTACTTCCATCATGAGCCCGGGAGAGGGAAACAGGAAAAGCGAGTTTTAATCAACATACTTTCTACAAATAAAAAGCAACCAAAAACAGGTGAGGAACAGCAAATGAAGAAGGCAGCAAAAACAAGAAATGAAGGCAGCAGTAGAAATACTTTGATCAGAATCCTGGCAGTGCCTTGGGCGTGTGCAAGCGGGTGCTGCGGTCACCAGGGACCTTGTCCCCCCCTCTCTCCGCACGGTCCCCTCCTGACCGTGCAGCAGGGGGTGAGCCCCGAGCTCACAACTCAGAGCCAAGGGCCCAGGGGACCAGCGAGGGCGGCCACGCAGACCCACGGCAACCCCGGGATGAAAAGTGATGCTTTGACTGCGGAAAGTCCTCGCTTTATTTACTGAGGTTTCCCAGACACTCACGAAGCGATCTCGTCAGGAGGCAGCCCCCAAGCCTGTCAGGGCGTTGGCGCAGCCCCTGTGCAGGGACTGCCGGCCTAGGGCCGCAGGCCCACCCTGCCCTGTTCGCCAGGCCGCGCAAGGTAACAGGACGAAGCGAAGCGTGCTCACCAGTGATCCCAGTTCATAAGCGTTAAGGCTGTGTACGTCTCAGAAGGATGATAAGGCATTAAGAATTTTACAGTTTGACCAAATAACTTAATTATGTGTATCTGTGAAAGGATCATATCATTATATTCTTTGAAACACTCATGGTAACACATAAAAGAAAGCTAGTTAACTTTTTTTCTTTTAAGAAGGCCAATTCAAAAGGCTATTTATCAGTAGTAAAGGCAAACTATTTATTAGAAACTATGATAAAGTTGGCTAATAATTAAATTCAGGACAACAAGACCAGTCCGGCAATATGCTGCGGTCATCACCAGGACCGCTGGGACCTGATAAAATGAAGGCCCGCTGGGAATCCTCTCTGAGAGGCCTCCCCTCCCCTCTTGACCCGCGGCCGCCCTGTCTTCAGCTGAGGCACGGGAGCCTCTGTGTCAGGCTGACCTGACCTCCCTGGTCCCCCTTTACCGGGTCTCCAATCTTCATTACACAAACATGAATTTAACAGTTACTATGGTCCAGATACTTCGTGAAAAAAACAAAATTAAAATGTGGTTATGCGCTATTCATTGCTTAGTGAAACAAGACAGTTCCCCAAATAATAAGAATATCATATAGAAATATAAATAATACTTCATGCTGCATGAGTTTTTCCACATTAGTTTTCCAGATAGTTTCAACTTACTTAAGGTGCTAACTTATTTTTTTATTTAACCATCTTAAGGAGAAAAACAAAACCTACTTCCCTTCTTCCTTCAAAGGGTCTGTTAGCAGTAGTGCTCACCACACGACGCCATCGCGACCATCGGCTTCTATGCATGTTCACAGCAGCTTTGTGCATCCGGCAGCTAGAAAACCAGCGCCGCGGACATAAATCGGAAAGTCTTTCGCCACATTTTAAATGCTACGTGCTGGCAAGATTAGCTTTGCGTCTGTTCCACAGAGAAAAGGCCCTGCGTGTGTGTGGCGCCTTCAGCGCTCCTGGGCCTGCCTCTGCCCCAGGAACACGGTCCGACTGCTGACGCCCAACGGCTGAGGACACTGGTGTCAATCCATAAGACACCCATCACGTGGGCAAAAAGGACTCAGAGACACCGAGGTGACCCGGGGTTGGGAGGAGGCTTTCCTGAGAGGGCAGAACCCGAACTGTAGGGAAGTGGCCCTGCTGTCTGACACCTCGCCTTAGACCGCATGCCCCCCAGCTCCCCTAAGAGTTTGGTAGCTTTTGATCAATGGGTTAAATACTGAAATTAAACGGGAAAATACAAGATCATTACATGTGGTAAGGTAAATGCAGTTCGAGGCATACTGTTTCAGTTAGGGGAGAGAAAGGGGAACTAGGTCACAACAATAAAGATACTCCGTAACTTTTACTTCTCAATGGTCACACGTCTGAGGGCACTGCTTGCCGTCAGCAGGCTGGGAGGTATGTCTGGCCCACCCCATGGGGCAGGGAGTTCCACAGGTTCCTCCGCCGCAGCCCTCTCCCCACCGAAGCTGACTGGTGATGCCGTCAGCAAGGGCCGGGGCACCGACAGAGGACGCCTGGAGGCCTGGGACCCACGCAGGCAGCTGACACACTGCATCGCTGCTGAGAAAGAACTAAAAGTAAATCATCCCACAGACGTCCCCAAGCAGAATCTGAGTCCAAAGGAACTTTCCTGTTTCTTTAAAAACTTTAGAAGAAAAAAAATCACGAAGGCACTTTAAAGATGGAATACCTACTTTGTACCAAGAATACAAATAATTGTTTAGGATCCAAATAATTTCTAAGTGGGTGAAAGAGAGGCTCTCTTTAGAACTGAGGAAGGGTAAAACCAGTAAACCAAGGATTCTGTTGATTAAATCCCAAATATTTAAAAATAAACAGGGCAAGAAGTGTTAAGCATGGCTTGTTTTTATGCCACTGACCATAATCACGCTTTTCCTGGAGAGCCTGCAGACAGCCAGGGAGGGAAAATGAAGATGAACCACCGGAGCACAGACGGGAGGGAAATCGTCCGAAGAGGTTTTCTCGTTAATCACCTCCTGTTAGCCAGAGCTACGGATTAAACCGGTGTTTCTCTAACTGGCCATCATTCTGACAATGCAAAGGGATTCGCCAGAACCGGAGCTGCATGGAGAGTGGCCTTACGCGGCGCCGTGCCTGCCGGCTCCGTGAGTCAGCCCCCCTTCGGCGCACTGTGCCCTTTGCCAGAAACAGGGAAAGTGTGCTTATAGTAAGGTTTATTTAAACACTTCATTTTGCCATCATCTGTTTAGATTTTAGCATGCTCTTTTTTTTTTTTAATGCATACAGGAATTCTCTACCCAGGCTGAAATAAATAGCCAAATGTTTTTCTCATTAGTAAAAATATTTCATATTGAGCCTATGAACAATTGCTTCAAAATACCACTTACGTGCCCTTTGGGCCTCAGACAGGAGCTGAGTTTAAGACCCTTTGTTTAGAGAACTCTTGGTTATAACTTCTAGAATTTTCTTATGAATAGAAAAGGCAATTGGAGAAGCTTTTAGCTGCAGGGCACATACACAGCCTGACTGACGTCTGACTCTTAGTTTGCAAAGCAGAAGCATTCAAATTCTCAACCTCTGATCTGCAGCTGTTGGTAACAATACGTAAGTTACACTGCTTAAAGGTGATGCAATGAAAAGGAGTATTTTCCCTTGTAAACAGCAAAGTTTCTGGGGGAAAAAAAAACCTTTAAGGTATCTAACAGCTCTTAAAAAGCAACATAGGAAGAAACCAAGTCCTTACCTTACAAAAGAACTAGACAGAAGCCCGGTGAATCCCACCGCAGCGCCCACGACAGCTGTTTTCCGACAACCATATATGTCTGTGAAGATGCTGACGATTGGGCTGCAGAAGAAGATCATCCCCATGGACAGAGAGTTCACCCACGCTGCAAAAGGGGAAGGGACACGGCAAGTTACACTTACTCCGCGAGATGCGATACATACTTAGAAAAATACTCACGCAGAAAGACCCCAGGCAGACTGGCGAATGGAGGGAAGCTGGAGTGACTTAGGGACAAGTCTGAATCCCAGCTTGAAGGTTTTCCACTTCATACTGTAATTAGCATATGATTATTTGTGTTTGATCAAATTCGTGAAAAGTATGTATTTGTAAATAAATCATTCTTGTATGACCCAAACACTATTAATCTCTATCCTACTATCTATGATTTTAAGAAAACTTGTAATCTAAGGAAAGAAGTTCATTTGAATAAACAGTAACAATGAGATATATTTAGGACCGCATGTCTGTAGGTGATCAAACTGGAAGGGAATGAGTTCCTGTGGGAAGGAACAGAATTATGATCCTTAGGACCCAGTGGTCAAGAACTGCACATCTGCTGAGACTTAGTTCTTGTGCTAAGGGAATCCAGTCATACACAAGTAGACAATGTGCTGAGCTGGATAGTAGTTACCGGGTATTCTCTTCACTTATGAAACCATATACACATTTTACCTTCTTTTCTGAAAGTATGTCATTTTTCCCAATAAAAAAGATTAAGATTCGGAAGTCATAATTTCCTGTTCTGATTCTGGAAACAAACAAATAGATGGTAACCAAGAACAAGAAACAAATGCTGAGTACAAATTACCATAATTTTGTGCTAAAGAAATAAGTTAGTTCACAGGATATCAAGTCTGTAAATGCTTCTTAAAAAGTATAATAAACTAAGGGGGCCTAAGGGGACATGTCACTACAAGACTCCCTACCGAATCAATTATAGCCTCTTTAAAGAAATGTACTTTAAATACAAATACACAAGTAGAAAATAAAAAGATATGCCATGTAAATAATAACCCTAAGGAAAGTTGGAGAGGCCATACTAATAGTAGACAAACAGACCTTAAGACAAGAAATATGACTAGAAACAAAGAGGGACACTTCAAATGACAAAAGTGTCAAGGCACCAGGAAGATCTAACGATGATAAATTTATGTGCACCTAACAATAGAGCTTCAGAAATACAAGCAAGATAATTTGATCACTACCTGTGCAATAATGAGTCTTAAAAAATACGTATTTGGTCATTCAGATGACTAAATATATATTCCCTGGATATATCTGGTCTTCATACCCAGTTCCTGAAAATACTGCAGAGTCATAAAGACGAAATGGGGGTCTTGTCACATTAATGAGAGACTTTTGGACCCCACCCGAGGGGAGGGGCTGGAGGCTGAATCAGCCAATGGCCGGTGACTTAGTCAATCAGGACTGTGCAGTTAGGCGCTCACAAAAACCCCTGAGAAGAGCTTATCGCTCTCCCGGATCCTGCTTCTGTTGGACAGAGAGCATCCACGCTGGGGAGCCAGAACCCCGGCAGGTGTCCCCGAGCCAGGCCCCCAGCTCCATGAGGAGAGAAGCTCCTTTGTTTGGGACCCTGCCATGTATACCGCTTCATCTGGCTGTTAACTTGTATCCTTTATTAAACTGATACATAAGTGGTTTTCTGAGTTCTGTGAGCTGCTTTAGCAAACTAATAAAACCTAAGGGGGAGGTCGTGGGAACCTCCAGTCTGTAGGCAGTAGGTCAGAAGCACAGGGCCTGGGGCTTGCAACGGGCGTCTGGAGCAGGGGTGGAGGGTGGTCTTGTAGGGCAGAGCTCTACGCCTGGCAGATCTGGTGCTGTTTCCGGGCAGATGGCATCAGAATTGGGTTGAGTTCTCAGACACCCGGCGGGTGTTTCAGAATTGCTTGGATGTGGGGGGAGGGGAAGAGGCACGCCACCCCACCCCACCCCACCCCCACCTCTCTCTCACACACACATTGGAATCCGGTCCAGGAACCTGAAAGGAGTTATACTGCTGTGTAGGCAATTGGTATATAAGAAAAAAACACACTACCCTACACCATATTAAAAAATAACCTCAAATTGGATCATAAAACTTAAATGTGAAACTGAAAACTACAAAGCTTCTAGAAGAAAACATTCAAGAAAATCTTTGTGACCTTGGGTTAGGCAAAGATTCCTTAGATACAACATCAAATACACAAATCCACATGAAAAAATTGATGAACTAAACTTTGTCAAAACTGAAACTTCTCTGTGAAAGATACCATTAAGAGGATGAAAAGATAAAGCCAGAAAATGGGAAAAAAGATTTACAATTATGTATCTAATAAACAACTTGTATCTAGATTATATAAAGAATTCTCAAAACTCAATAAAAAGCAAGCCAACCAATTTAAAAATGGGCAAAAGATTTGAACAGTCACTTCACAAAAAAGATAGACAAGTAGAAAATACGCGTATGAAGAATGCCCAGTACTATTAATCATGGGGGAAATGTAAATTAAAGAGACAATGAAAAGCCACACACATACCTATTAGAATGGCTAAAATGAAAAGGTCTGATCATACCAACTGCTGGGGAGAACAGAGAGTAACTGGAACGGCCATACACTGACACTGGGAATATAAAATTGTACGACCACTTTGGAAAACAGTGGAGGAGGTTTTTTTAAGTTAAACATACACTTACCATATGACCCAGCCACTGCCTCCTAAGTGTTTACCTAAGAGAAACACAAGCATCATGTTCACACAAAAACTTGCATACAGATGTTTACGGATGCTTTACTTCTAGTAACCAAAAACTGGAAAGAATCCAAATGTCCAGAAATAAGTTACTAGACAAACAAATCATGGCATATTCACATAACAGAAGACTACCCAGCTGTGCGGAGGAGTGAACTCCTGATAACTACAATACAGATGGACACCAAATAATCATGCTCAAAGGAGTCAGACCAAAAAGGAGTGCAGAAGGCATGGCTCCATTTACACAAAATTCTAAGACACAAATTAATCATAGTGATGGGTGGACACCAGTGTCTACCTGGTGGTGGCGAGGGAGCTGGGCGGAGGATTCCCAAGGGCACAAAGAACTTTTGAAGGTAATGGGTATGTTCATTATTTTGACTGGAGTATTGGTTTCACTCATATGCACCCGTGACAAAACTCATCAAATTACATACTTTAAACATGCTGTTTATTACATGTCAATATACTTCAATAGGATCATAAGGACCAAACAAACATACTTAAAATGCTTTTCGATGGAGGAACGTGTCAGAACCAAGCCCTATGCGCCTCCACCCCAGCCCTCGATGCTCTCCGCCTCCTCTGAGCTCCTCCAGCACTTGCTCCTGGTGCCACTTGTGGTCACTGACCCCAGGTTCTTTACCCTATGCACTGTCTTTACACACACACACACACACACACGCACGCACTAGCCGGTCTCTCCAAGTCTCCCTTTCTTAAATGCCACACAAGGCCTCATACAGGCTCTCCCACTTCTGTTCTTCCTATCATAGCAGGTTCTCAAAAAGGACCAAACGATGAATGGGAACATTCAGGCCTTGAAGGAAGTTTGGTATGTACCGGATCACTGCCCTGCTCACAGGGCAGCACCCAAACTACCTCCCTGCCCACAGCAGGGTGTCCCCCTTATCCAGGCACCTGCTCTCTGAGAAGCCAGAAGTTACTGCTCACACAACTAAGACTACTTACAGCGTTTCACAGAGTCCAGAAAATTAGAGAAATACAAGTGAGAGGGGGATATACAGCTCATTCATGCAATAAATTTATACTGTGTCAGACTGCTGGGCACTGTGGGTCTCAAGGAGCTCAGAATCCAGGCAGACGGATGAGGACACAGCAGCGGCAGCTCTCACTGACTGAGGCGTGAGCCGTAGGCAATGATGAGCCTCTTAGCACGGATGCCCACCCCAGAGGCGGGAGGGAGAAGCTGCCACACACCCTCTGCCCCAGGTGACACCCACCCTGGAAGGCTGAACAGGCCCTAATAGGGCGAGGATGGGGAAGGAGGAGGCAGGAGTGTTCCAGGCAGAGGTGCGGCAGGGACAAAATGAGTGCCTGCAAGTGGCCGTGTAAGGGTGCAGCTCAGCCTTGCCTGTCACTGTAAGAACACCCGTTACCCGTTAGATGTGAGTGAGTCATCTTGAGGTGCTAACCTCGGAATCATATGAAAGTGTGATTTGCAAACAGTTTGCAGACTGGACTGTTTATGGGGGAGACTGGAAGGGAGGCCATCGGAAGGCTGTCACAAGTGACAAATGGCAGTGGTCTGGGCCCAGAAGCAGCGAGGTATCGAAGGAAACAGGCTGAAGAGATGCGAGTGACGGAACCGGGAGGATTTATGAGCCACTAGATGTGGAGAGATGGGGGCTGGGGGGGCAGGAAGGCGGCAGTGTGGAGAGGGCGAAGGCGGGGGTCTAAGAGTACAGACGGTGGACGGCGGGGAAGTCGGGGCTCCTAGGGCCGGGGTCCTGGGTGCACTCACACCGCCTGGTGGTGTAGCTGGCCCGTGGCTAGGCCGCCCTTCCACACCCGCAGGCATCAAGCTGTTGCTACAGAGGGCTGGGCCGGGGCTCCATGGGGGCAGAGACGCCCGTGCTCGACCTGCCCCCGGGGCAGCAGCGGGGTAATGAACCCTTTCGCCCCAAGGAACGCGCTGCCGCCAGTTTCTCTGGTCACACTGAGTCCACAGCGAACCTGCCCGGGGCTGGGGCCCACTAGCAAGGCAGATGGTTTGGGGGGGTGGGGCGGGAAGATGGTGAGTTTGTTAAAAAATTCCAGCGACTTTCTCAAAATGCCTGAAAATAAAGCAAGATTCTTATTCATCAAGGAAAAAAGAATCACTGCTTTGTACTAAATTCTCTTTCAGAAGTTTTCATGTCACGGGCACTTTCTCAGTTCCTGCCCGCAGAGCAAGTTGTTGGGGAAAACAAGCCGGGCGTCCCTCGGCTGCTGCGGCCCCGGGCGCTGGGGGGGCGTCTGGTCGCCCTCCTGGGGGGCGCCCCGCACACCGCGGGTCCGCATGTTGGGAACGTCCGGCAGCAGCGCGGCGAGGAGGCGGCTAAGGAG